AACTATCTTGCTTTGCATGTAATGAGTCTTATCTCATATACTGTATTAGTTTCACCTTTTAAGTTGCATTACTAAAATAAATGAACTTTTGCACAATATTCTAATTTTCTGAGATGGTGGATTTGGGGTTTTCATGAGCTGTATGATATAATCATCCCAATTATGACAAATCACGGCTTGAACTATCTTGCTTTGCATGTAATGAGTCTTATCTCATATACTGTATTAGTTTCACCTTTTAAGTTGCATTACTAAAATAAATGAACTTTTGCACAATATTCTAATTTTTCGAGTTTCACCTGTAGGTTGGCTATTTTTTTTCTTTCTGGCAGACATTTAGATTTTGGAACTCTGCTATCATGTCACTCCTAGTCCTTCTCTTCATTAAACTAGACAGACTCAACTCCTGAAACCATTCTTCACATTTTTTAGCCTCCAGCTCCTCAATCATCTTTGTTGCTCTTTTCTGCACTCTTTCTAGAGTCTCAACATCTTTTTATATTGTGACAACCAAAACTGAATGCAGGATTCCAAGTGTGACCAAAGTAATATAAGATTGGAAAGAAACATTTCCATTTTATTCAGAAGGAAGTCCTGGACTGAGGGAAAAACAAAAACAAAAACAACCTCTTCCCTTGAGAAAAATACAGCAGCAGATTAATTCTGTACTGATGTCATGAAAGCTAAGTGCCTATCTTCACAATATTCATCAGAATAGCTTGATTCAAATAAAGTTTTACATCTTTAATCATGAATCTGTATTAATAGCTTCCAGGCACTGTGTCAAACTAGATTCCAATAGTGTAAAAACCCAGAATTGCTTTGCTAATATTTCATCAGGCAGAATTGCCTCTAAAATCCTTTTTAATTGTTCAAACCAGGGTGAATGAATAACACTTCTAAAACATGTTGATCTGGATCTAATCTATCCATTCATTGATTATTAGTATTCACAGATATGATTTTATTTTCTTCTAAAACCAGGGTTAGACTGAAATTGTTTTGGACAGGGCTAGCATTAATTTCCAAACTGACCCTCAATCTGTGACCCAAGCTAGCTGCAAACCAACAATTCTATTTGTACAATAATTTGATTTGATTTGATTTGTATGCAATATTCACTTATTTTATTTTTTTATTTACCTTCTGGTTACATTGACTGTATAAATGACTG